TGGTTTGGTGTGAAATGCTCTGTTCTAGATAATCTTACCGAGTCAGAACTGTTCACAGTGGTGGTGATAGGAACCAGACGTCCCCCTCTAAAAGCTCCCTCACAGAAAGTTCCTACATGAAATGGTTATGAATTCACTGCCTGATGACTGAGACACTGTTTTATGATAGTTTAGAGAACTTAAACTCCATTCATGGTGGAGGGATACATGCAGGGCGCTGTGAGGCAAAATAGTCCCCAAAGAAAACTTATTATTTCAGATTTTCCACTATTTTCCATCATCAACATTCCATATAAACTCAGAAGACTCGTGTAGGTTCACTGGTGGTTCTGGATAGTAAATAAAATGTCTATATCTGTGTTGTAGTCATGGCGACCTCTGGTTCCTATCACCACCGTCTTTATTTATAGAGCACTTTTCAAAGTGGGGGCTTTACAGACAGCTGATAAAGCTTACCAATAACAGAAAAAACTGAGGATTAATTTTAAATCACATAAAATTACATTACAAAGACCACCAAAGAGCCGTAGAGTTTTACTGAAGCTCTGAGTTAAAGAGCTGCGTTTTCAGATGTTTATTAAAAGTGAGCTCTGAGCTCGACTGTCTAATAAAAGCTGAACTGAGCTCCACAGTTTAGAAGCAGAATAACTGAAAGAGTCTCTCCATGTTTTCTGTGTTTTACTGAAGGAGTTCAGAAGGTCAGAATCTGCTGATCTGAGATCATAAACAGACGGTCAGGAGCTTTAAGGTCATTTAGAGCTTTAAAAACCAGCAGCAGAGCTTTAAACTCTCTCTAACAGATCCAGGCGGTCAGTGCAGTGTGTAACGGGGTGATATGAGCTCTGTGTTGGTGCTGTGAGGATCCGTGCTGCTGCGTTCTGTACTGGTTCTAGAGGATGGACTGTTTTCTCAAGTAAGAAGATCATTACAGTGATCAACTCTGCTGAACAAACACAGCCACAGGTTTCTCTGCGCCGCTCTGAGAGAGAACATTTTGAAAATTTTGAAAAATCGATGGAATTCCCCTGTAAGTTTTTCTTCTCATTAGCAGGTGATGCTTCACTTTAGTTTTACAGTGAATCTGATCTGCGGGACAGAAATGTAATTTAGCAGCAGCAAAACATACAAACATTAAACATCTGATCCCCCTCAGCTCCACAGACCTCAGAGCGTCCACCAGAAACACTGTCCACTCACACAGGCTGATCTGTTTAAGCCCCCCAATCAGACTGGATTACTAACTGGGTAGATTAGTGGTGGCTGGGGGTGAGCCTGAGTGTCTGAGCCTGAAGACCCCTCACCACAAACACCTCCAGCGTGCTGAGGGCTCTGATGAAGCTGCTGAAGCCGTGACGTTATTAAACCAGGAGCAAAGTGGACAGAACACACAGCACATCACCGCTGCTGGGATCTGATTGGCTGAACACATGGAATGTATACATCAGTGTTCACTGGTTTACCTTTACATAGACATTTTTCTGAGGACAGTTGATGAGATCAATAGTGATGAGCTCTTTTAGTGAGTCAGATGAGTCGGCTCAGCTCACTAATGAGAGCCGACTCTTTCGGTTCACTAATGAGTCCTCATTTTTTTAATTAGCCATGTTAATAATAACAGATGCCATTTGTTTTTCTGTAAAACCTTTGTCTACTTTTTAATAAACAAAAACTACATTATTATTGTTAAAGACAGTTAGATGTTGATAAGTAGTCCGACTGAATGAGTCAGTAATCAGAATAAGTAGCGAGGCATGTTTGGAAACACGGCCAAGACAAAACACAGTGAAACGTTTATTTAAACAGAAACGGTGGTGCGCTGTAACTACGGCAGCTGAGAAGGTCATTCCTGATGTCCTTCCAGCGTTTTCTATTCCAAAATCTTTACAATAAAATACAACAAACACGCTTAACTTATTCAATAGCTGCGTACACTGAACTGCAGCGGCCGCATGTGCAGAGACTTTATTAGAGTCCAATGTGTGCTGCATTTTTAATACAGCAGCGTTTATATACATGTCGCTGCTGATTGGATAACAGCTTTGACACGTCCACCAATCAGGAGAAAGCACCTCAAAGCTGCTGCACACCGTTTCACACTGATTCGAAGAAACGTCATTCAACCTGGAAACTGCAGTAAAACGGTGCACCGCGGTTTGAGACTGAATGTGCTGCAGCTGTTGGGAATGATGAGGGGCGGAACCGTTTGTTTAGGTTTAATAAAAAAACAGCTCCTAAATGCGAGTTGGCCTCCAGAGTTCACCTAAAAGAGGCGACTTAAAGACCCGATTCATTCACTAAAGCACAACTTCATCTACTTTTTTAAAGCCAAACCATCAGAACACAAGGAGTAAATCCAAAGAGATTCTTATTCGCATAATGTGATTACATGGCTTTCTGATTCAAAATCAGAATCAGAATCAAAATCAGAATCAGAATCTTTATTTTCCCAGGACCAGCTGTACAAGGAGTTTCTGTTGGTGCAAGTGTAAACACAAAATTAAATAACACTAATATATATATATATATATATATACGTATATATATATATATATACATATATATATATATATATAGACAGATAGATGGAAAATGATCTGATACATATAAACATAAAATAGGCAGTACATAAACAATTAACTGAGAGAACAGAGCAGAAAATATGAATATAAGCATATTTATTAAACATTCATACAGCAATAAGTTAGAACGCTAATGTGCACCGACTGCAGTGAGGAGAGAGTTAGAGGCTCTTATTCAGAAAGAGTTTGGACTCATAAACTCTTAAAAAGGATGTTTCTGCAAACGTTCTTGAGTAAATACTATGGTTCTATATAGAACCATGAACACTCAAAAAACCTTTTGTATGGTGAAATGGTTCTTCAGATTGATATGGTTCTTCAGATTGATATGGTTCTATATAGCACCAAAAATGGTGCTCCTGTTTTATACAAGATTGTCATCATAACAATAGCAGAACCCATTTTCAAAACGGTTCTATATAGAACCATGTACAACACAATCTACATCAATGTGAAGAACCACTTCACCATGCAGAGAACCTTTTAGTCATGCAGATAGTACTTTGAGTTTTCATAGTTCCATACAGAACCACTGACCTCGCTCACCAACCGTTCTTAAGAGGAAGTTTCTTCTTCTTTGGCGAAGATTCTGCCTCACCGATGTTCTCTTATGTAAGAGAACAGAATCTACACACACTCAAGAGCACAAAGGAGAGAACAGTTCTGCGCTTTAAGAACACGACATGAATTTGACGGAGACTTTTTCTTAGGACCTTTATCAAGAACACACTTAGGAGAATACTGGAGAAAGAGGCTCAGTGTCTTTACTAAAGAACCCTTGAAGAACCGTCTTCCTAAGAGTGTGTACTGTGGTTATGTGCATCACAGTGTGTGTAATAAAGTGTGTGTGATGCTGTTTGTGGGTCCTTATTTAGGAATCTTTGTGCAGTTTGTGCGTCTCTGCATCACTCATACGTTTAAAGGAAGAACAATCTGCTCAGTCTCTGCTGTGACGTATGTGTGGTGCCGTCTCTAAGAAGAGTAACAGACAAACAAACAAACAAACACAAAAACCTCGTCTAAATCCATTGTTGTTTTGGTCATTATAGACTGAAACTGCGCAGTGAGCACAGAGATATTTAGCGCTGCATTTCAGAGGAATAATTTATTCAAATGTAAGAAATAATTTAACATATAAACTACACATTCTGTAGAAGTCAGATAACAGTTAGTGTAAGATTTCTCTCGAGGGCGTCTCCACTCAGGCGGGACAAGATGCCCCTTAAAAAATGCTTTAAAACGAAATTGCAATCAAAAGCTGTTGTTTAAAGCAGGGGTGCACAAACTTTTCATCTTGGGGGTTTATTAAAATAAATTTTGTTGGTAAAATTAAAAATACATTTCTGACTCAGTTTCTCACCAAACCACCCTGAGTGGACTTACTGACGTCTTCCTCTTTAGGTGGTGTTAGAAAACCTAGGGTCAGAATTCAGTTCACTGCCTCCTTTTAAGGGCAATTCCACCTCTTTTTCAAATTTTCTGCATAACTCACCCTCTCAGAGGAGCTGCACTGAAACTCTGAAGTCGTACTGCGAGAGGAAAAATGCATCTCTGCCAGCTTTCTGTGGCCTCACAGTACATATCAATAAACAAAACTGAAAATCAATGTGTTGAATTAGAATCTTTGTTTTCTTAAGTTTAGTCATTTTAAAATACTGTTAAATCACCTGATTCATTACGGTTGAGCATTTTCTCTATTTGATCCTTGTTTTATCTATTTATTTGGTTTATTTATGTTATTATCTTTGTTTAAAACAGGCTCTTAAAGGGGAATTCCACCAACCTTTCTCAAAATTCAAAGTTCCAGAGAAACTTACCGAGTCAGAACTGTTCACAGTGGTGGTGATAGGAACCAGACGTCCACCTCTAAAAGCTCCCTCACAGAAAGTTCCTACATGAAATGGTTATGAATTCACTGCCTGATGACTGAGACACTGTTTTATGATAGTTTAGAGAACTTAAACTCCATTCATGGTGGAGGGATACATGCAGGGCGCTGTGAGGCAAAATAGTCCCCAAAGAAAACTTATTATTTCAGATTTTCCACTATTTTCCATCATCAACATTCCATATAAACTCAGAAGACTCGTGTAGGTTCACTGGTGGTTCTGGATAGTAAATAAAATGTCTATATCTGTGTTGTAGTCATGATTCCTATAGAATTTTCATTTGGGAAAAAATGGTGGATTTCCCCTTTAAAGCACCTCCCAGTGAAACCACAGTGAGCCGCTCCACCCGAAACGCCGAAGTTCAGTGTGTTCAGCTCTGAGCTGAGTGGGACAGACGGACGGACGGACAACCCCCCCCCACCCCCGCCACCACCCTACCCTTCAAAGGCGCATGCGCACGCGAGGGCCGCCCCGTTGCCATGGTTTCCGTGCTCGCGCGCGCGCTCGCGCGAGGACGACGGCGACGCGCAGCTCTCGCGCTGCTGCTGCTGCTCAGAGTGCAGACATGGCGGCGGATCTGAAGCCCGACTGGCTCTCCTGTCTGCCTTCAGCCTGGAGCTCCGGGGTCACGCGGGACGGGCGCGTGTTCTTCATCAAGTAAACGTCTTCATCAGCTCTTCTTCTGCGCTTTTCGCCGAGCTGGACTCGCCTTCCTCCTCGACAGGGTCTCCTTCGAATTCGCTCGGTCCACCTTAAACGGTGCAGCAGTCACATTCTGGCGCCTCCGGAGTCCGAGTGTTACTGCTGCACCATTTAAGGTGGACCGGGAGAGTTGGAGGGAGACGCTGCCGAGCAGGAGGCCAACTTCAGCCCCGTTTCTTCTCCTTCAGCCCCGTTTCTTCTCCTTCAGCCCCGCTTCTCCTCCTTCAGCCCCGCTTCTCCTCTTCTGCTCTTTTCACTCTCGCTCTGTTTTTCTCTCCCAACAGTGAAGAAGCGAAGAGCACGACCTGGCTGCACCCGGTCACCGGAGAGGCGGTCATCACCGGACACAGGAAGACCGCAGGTACACACAGCTGTGTGTGTGTGTGTGTGTGTGTGTGTGTGTGTGAGAGAACGAGGGGAAAATGTCATTACGGAATTTACGGAATCCTGCAGCAGCTCCGAGTGTCTGTCGCTGGGAGTGAAACTGCAGCTGGACTCCTGTCTGTCTGTCTGTCTGTCTGTCTGTCTGTGGACTGAAGTTAGATTTAAGAGTGATCACCATTTGCTGGTTCTAGTGATGTCCATTAATAACAGCCTGACCGCTCACAGCACCAGTAGACCATATTTTCTGCAATTTTGTGCATTTTGTTGCATATTTTTTGTGCTATTTTCTGCACATTTCCTGCATTTTTCTACATTTTTTCAGAATTTTTTTTTCTGAATTTTGTTGCATTTTTTTCCCTTATATTTGGAGTTTTCACCATTTTCTGCATTTTGTTTTTTACATTTTTTCTGCATTTTCTTCTAAACATTTCTGCATTTTTCCTCCATTTTTTCTGCATATTTTTTCCCTTTTCTCTAGCTTCCCGTGTGGGCGATGGACTGCGATTTCAGCCTTTCAGGCTCGCTTCTTTCTACTCCTTGTAGTCTCCTGCGCATGAGCGCGCACCCAAACTCATTTACATATCACACCGTTATGAGCCCAGCAGCGATACCGCCGCTGCTCGAATGGCTCAGAATGGCTCAGACTGGCTGTGGTGGTGATCCTGAGTGATGTGCAGTGTGATGTGTGGTGAGCTCCGGCGTGGGAACGCCACACAGCACTGCAGATCCAGGAGAGATGTTCTAGAAACGCTGCAGACCTGCTGCGCAGAGACGCCCGGCTGATTCTGCTCTTTCTCTGCTTTTAGATCTGCCGACCGGATGGGAAGAAGGATACACGTTCGAGGGAGCGCGCTGCTTCATCAAGTGAGTGGGATTTTTCCCTTTTTTGGCTCTCGGCTCGTGGTGGACGAGGGACGGCTTTGCGTTGCACAGATTTGGGATGATCACACACTCACACACCCCGTTGTGCCGTAGCGTAGCTGAACGTGCAGCTCTGCCTACACAGACGTGCTCCTGCTCTCCCTCTGAGAGCCGTCGTCAGAGGGAGGCTGAGTCTGACAGGCCCGTGTGACTCACGGCGGCTCCGCCGAACCGGCTCTACTTGTTGCTGAATGTTGTGAAGCTCTCAGACGTGCGCAGGTCGAGTTCGCGCACGTCAGGTGTGTTTTTCTCTCTGCGGCGAGCTGCGAGACTGTTGCAGCCTGCAGCACTTTCTGCTGCTTCTGCAGCTCTGTTTGCATGAACCTCAGTGATGGTGGTTCTCTCTGTGGAGGAGGGGTTGCACATCGGAAGGATCTGATGATGGTGATGAAGATGTAGCACCTGATGGTGTCTCAGCAAGTGAAACATCTTAAATGTAGTTAAAATATCTAATTTCTCATTATGAGACTGTTGTAGGAATATTATGATTATTCCACTTATTTCTGCTTGGTGTAAGTAATCTTTTACTTGTTTTAAGCAAGATTGTCTTCGTTATTTCTCAAAACAAGAAATGATCTCCTTAAAACAAGTAAAAATGTATAGAAACTGGTGGAATAATCTTATACTATTCTTACAACAGACTCATAATGAGAAATATTAGATATATCAAGTACTTTTAGGATGTTTTGACTTGGCTGAGGTGTCGTTTGTGCTGTGTGCCTCAGTGTCGCCTCACACCTGTGAAAAGTGGCGTTTGAGTGTGTCTGTGTGAAAGTAAATATCAGTGAAACCTGAATTCATGATTAGAATAAATAAATCTGGAAGACCAAACAGATCCACAGCACGACAAACTAGTCTGCACGCAAAGTGATGGGCTGATCAGTCTAGCCAATCAGAGGAATCTTTCACTGATTCAGCGCGCTCAGTCTGCTGAACAGGTGCTGATATTATGAGTGTAATATGCTAATGAGTTTCTGAACATGTGCTTTGTGCTCATGTCTTAACGTGTTAGTGTTTGCCCCTAGGGGGGACATACTTAGAGGATTCAGGTTAGTTTTCCATATTTTTAATGTTTTGAGGTGTCTTGAACAGTTTGAGCTCTAAATCCGTTTTTGTTTTCAAACAATGTTTTTATCGTTTGCAAAAGAAACCATAAAATTTACAACCTCTGCAGTTTATAATTGAGTTTTGAAAGTCCAGTCATTTGAGCGTGGGCATACTTATCACAGGCCCCACCCACTTTACTATGATGCGCTCCACCCAGCTGCCTAGTTTGGGTTGTTGACGGTAGAAAGATGGTGAAACAGAGACTGTCAGAAGAAACCAGGCAGCAGATCAGACCACAGAGTTTAATATTCCACACAGTTTAAATTCAGTTTTTCGGTTTCTGCTGACATCATTACACCTTCGTGGATGCTGCGTCTATGTGTTGGTGGTCGACAGCAAACAGGATATTGGATAATTTTTACTGAAGCATTAATGAAAAACTCTGCAGCACACCGCAGCGGAACGTTCCAGCAAGAGTTTTCCCTCTTCCCGTCGACTGCAGCTGTGGAATAAGCCAACACCAAGAACGCCAAACGTCTCATTGTTGAAGTTCTGTGTTATACAGCAAAACATTATAAGCTCTATTTGGATGGGATTAGTTTACAGGTGTAGGTGGATAATGTAGTTTTCACTGGTGTAAAGTCATTGTAGTCCCGTCTGAAGGCACCATATCAGTCAAACTGAGCTTTAGAAATAATCCCAGGTTATTTTAATTCTGTACAAATCGACATGTTGATAAAAACGCTCTCATATTTTCTAAAGTGTTGAGGCACCCAAAGAAGAGTTTACTTCTGTTCTCTGTGGCTAACATTAATCCGATGTTTACTGCCTTACCTCAATAGTACAATGCAGAACATTAAAACATAAAAATTACATACAAACTGTTTGATTATATGCAGTGATGTTGGATGTAAATTCCCAAACTAAAGACGATCCTCTCTGTCATTTATACCAAGACTTCAGATCCATTGTGAGTGGATTAAAAACGTTACAGGTGTCTTGTGGTAAACTGGTGTCACCCACCTCTCCAGGGAAAGCTAATCCCGTCTGGAAGGTGCTGAAGAACCTCCTCAGCTGCTCCGATAATGATCTGTATCCGCAGGTGGCGCTGTCACCATGGCAGTGTCTTCATGGCTGCATGCGGCCATTGGTGGCGTATCGCTGTGAGGGGGGATTTCCTTCAGTGCCGGTGATCTGAGTGATGACGGACAGCAGGCTCGGTGTCTCAGCGTCTGACCTGGTGGAGACGGTGTTGTGATCTTGGAGAGCTTAATGTGATATGATGAACTGAAGCATTTGATCCCGTTCAGTCATTAGATGAGATTTCCTGCGGACTCAGAGCTCCCGAGCTCCAACGCTACAATAGCGTCTTTTATTCCGGAGGAATTCGGCGAGGTTTCAGAGAGATGGCGAGAGTTCCTCTACACACTTGCTGTGATGGGAGCCAGTCTGGTTTTCAAGCTCGTTCCAGCTGGACTGATGTTTACAGACACGTTCTGTTTGGATCACTTTGATTGGTCCCCAGAAAATGAGGCTTTGTTTTGGTGGGAATACGTTGTGTGGTCATTTCTCTCTCCTGGAGTTGTCAGTCGAATGGAAATGGCTTTGATGGTTAGAGGCCTGAATGAGTGGATTATAAACTGCTTGTAGTTTAGAACCGAGTGTCTTGTTCTTTGAGTGAATGTAAGCTCAGTGTGTTTTCAGACTCGGCCGGTTTGGCTGGATTTAAACGAGTCCTGGTGTGATTGCTGTGGCAGTGCGGTTCGTTAGAGCGAGTGTGGACGCTGCCCTGCGAACTCTGGTGCACGAAATAAGCAGGCCGAGACCCCCTGAGGAGGGCGGTCTCGGTTCACTTCAAAGTGAACCGTGGTGCAGTTTGTTTGAAGTGTGAACACAATACAGAACAAAGACAGAACGAAGCGGCGAATCCTCTCTGCAGAACTTCTCATGGTGAGGTTGAGTTTCTGTTGCTGTTTTATCGTCTCGTCAGTTCCATTTACTCATATCTCTGTTGTTGGAACAAAACTTCGCATCTTCAAAATGGTAACTTTACCGGAGAAGGAAAAAATGGACCTTAAGTTTAAAGTTAATCAGTGGAACCAGACTTTTTTTTTTAAGTGTTCTTTGGCCGTTCCTGTTGGTCCATTCTTCATATAATTTACACACAATGTAAAGAGTAACAGGCTTTTTCACAAAATATGGAGAAAACTGAAAAACAACATGTAAACGGAGATACGAGGTTTTGTTCCAGCAGCAGTGATTTTACACATTTATATTGCATATTAAAGTGCCGAGGCTTCAGCGAGCCACTCTAGGCCATTTCACCTGTTCTGCGTCGTAACCGCGGTGACACTGGGAGTCTCATGGCTTATTGTTCTAATATCATAAGACATAAATAAAACCAGTGAGTCCAGATAGGACAGAGGACAGATTCAGAAAGGTCAGTGGACGTTGTCACAGGTGCTGTGCATCATAAAATCCACCCAATCAGTTGTAAAACTTTTGTTTACATCTTTTGGTTTGATGTAAAACGTGTTAGTGAGTGTGTTTACATGCACTCATTAATCCGATCATAATCAGATTTCTGCAGTTTTCTGATTATTAAGTGGTCGTGTAAACACACACTCTGATTTCTGAGATCAGATTAAGGTCTATAAATCTGATTAGTAAATCTGATAAAGTGGCTATATCTGAGTCAGTGATGGGGTTTCTCAGTGTAAACTCTCACTCTGATTTCTTTCGTTTCCCTCAGTCTGAGCTTGTGTGGAAACAGACGGCGGTACCAGAAACAGCGAGCAGCGTTTAACACAGAACTCACAAGACCAACACAGCACTTTTGGAGAGACACTGAAACCGACTACACACTCGACAGAATAAAGGATTCAAATATTCTTCATCTTCTAGATGATGTTTAAAAAAAGCTGCGGTGTGAAGTTTGAGTTTTACGTTACGATTACGTCGCGTCTTCTTTTGTGAGTTTATTGGCTGGTTGTAAAGCAGAAATCTGATTACTGTCTGACTCATGCAGACCTGGAGTTTCCCCATTATCTGATTACCCAAGAGCATGTAAACGTGTTGATCGGATTGCTGACAAAATCTGATTTTCTGCAGTTATCGGATTATTAAGTGCATGTAAACGCACTCAGTGTGAACGGTAAGTGAACCAGAACTAAAATGGAGCTTATCATGTTCTGCTTTGGTCTGGTTCAAGAGAACCGAAGAACGAGTATAAACACACTCTTAAACCATGTGTTGTGTTTCTCCACGTCAGGCTGGTCTCACAACTTCTCTTCCTCTCCTGTGCTCCTCCTCCTCGTCCTCCTTGTCCTTCTTCTTGGCTCTGAGGAGCAGCACTGAGCCGCTTGTGTATCAGTGTCTCCTTTCCTCTCTGGGGACTCGCTGTGTTCCCCATACCAGACAAATCTGAGGCTGCACTGTGCGCCCTGCTCTCTCTCTCTCTCGCTCTCTCTCTCACTCTCTCTCTCTCTCTCTCTCGCTCTCTCTCTCACTCTCTCTCTCGCTCTCTCTCTCACTCTCTCTCTCGCTCTCTCTCGCTCTCTCTCTCACTCTCTCTCTCGCTCTCTCGCTCTCTCTCGCTCTCTCTCTCGCTCTCCCTCGCGCTCTCTCTCTCTCTCTCTCGCGCACTCTCTCTTTTTCTCTCTCTCTCTCACGCTCTCTCTTTTTCTCTCTCTCTCTCTCTCTCTCTCTCTCTCTCTCGCTCTCGCTCTCTGGATTATCTCTGAGTGTTTGAGCACAGAGTGCATACTGATTCCTCGGCCTTGCTGCTGCACTGCAACGTGCGGTTTTCCCTCAAAAGACGCATTATGAGGCGTCCGTGTGAAGTGCCCTTTGTTCTGATCCGGGAGCGAATGTCCTGTGACTACGACGGAGGAACG